AAAATTATTTAATTCTATTTTTTTTCCCATCAACCTCATTTTTGGTTTTTTTTTTTTTTTTTTTGTTATCGGTTTTACATTTTGGCTTTTTTTTTGTTTCATAATCTAATTTCCAAATTTTTTTTCTGGTTGTGATATCCACCCACACACACACACTACCATCATGATTTCAAGAATGTGACGATCTAAAAAAATGAATGAATGAATGAATGAATGAATCTCATCATCATCATCATCATTTTCAATTGCTTTACCACGTCACGTTGCTTCTTTCTCATCGATTTGTGTTTTATAGTTTTTATTTTTTTATTTTTTTTTCAGTGTTTCAAAGAATTCATTTAATGATAATGATGATTATGATGATAATGTTTTGTGTAATTCGATGAATTAGATGGGTTAGTTGTGTAGATAGTGAAACAAGCAAACAGAAAAAAATACATTAACATTACGTAATTGTTGTTGATAGTAGCAGCTATAATTTGGTTTTTTTTTGATCTAGAATAAATGAAAATCAATTTTCAATCTTTGAATAAAAGAAGAGTTTATAGGAAATTTTGCAAAAGAATCGTTGTTGTTGTTGTTGTTATTAGACCTGAGAACAGAAATTCTCCGGATATACAAGATATGTATCACAAAAGAAAAATTTTCTGGAATTTTCCAATCTTTTTTTTTTGAAAAATACGATGAATAAATGATAACCACCAAATCATCTTATGTGGGTGAAAAGAAAATTTTCTTTGCTTCGAAAAAAATGAGTTTTTTTAAAAAAAATGAATTTCAAAAAATCAAATGAATGAACATAATTTCCGTCATTATGTCGTCGTCATCGTCATGTGTATTTTGAAACGGGTTTTAACGATTTTTTCATCATCATCATCATCATCATAATAACAATTTAATTAAATTTTTTTCATCCATTCATTCATTTTAAACAAATTTTCAGCATCAAAAAAAAAAGATTGAAATCGGTGATGGTATTATATTCACATTCATTCCATTGATTCTCAATCTAATCTATATGGATGGCATATGGAATTTCAAAAAAAGGAAAAAAAAATTTGCATCCTGGAATATTTAAAAGAAAAATTTAATTCTGATGCGAAAAAATCCTTTCGTTTAGAAATTTTTTTTTCGGTTATACAGAATTATTTCAACAATCGATGAATTTTTTTTTCATAATGCATATTCTTTCTTTTCTTTTTGCTGCTCAATTTATTTTTATTCATTCATATCCGTTAAGCCTTTAGATCTTTTTGGCTTTACTATTTGGCTGTCTTGTGTATATGTGTGTGTCAATCTGTCAATCAAAATTTTTTTTTTGTTGCAACAACTGAAAATAACAACGAAATGCGGTCATAAATTCAATTATGGTACTAATTCTAAGAAGAAAAAAAAATGAAAAGATGTAGTAAAAAAAAATTTGAAGAATATATTCTCATTTATATTAAAGTCAAATGTCTTGACTTTGTTCACCAAACATGGAAATAAAACATTATCATTTTTTTTGTTGTTATGTTTTGTTTTGAATGAAAGAGTTGATTCTTTTGCGAATAAAATATCAAGAATATCAAATAATATTGTTCATTTCTATTTTATTTGATAATGAATAGAAATGAACAACATTTTTGTCAACATTTAGTTAGTTGGACCCTATGGACCTGCCATCATCACATATCATCTATTTATGATGATGATGATAATGATGATTATTGAATACAGAATAGGCATGATATAAAAATTTGAAAATCGATCACAAGATCACATACGCACACACACACACACAACCCTCTAATCATCATTATCATTATCAAAAAAGATAATAGTTGTATGATGATGGTTTTTCAATGAAACAGAATTCAGTCTATGTTATATCACTCAGCCACCCCCACACAATCATCATCATAATAATTTAAAGTTTTTTTTTCTCCTGTTCATTTTATTTCCCAGACAATTTCTCTGATCAAAAAGTGATGATCATCATCATCATCATTGATCAGTGAAAATAAAAGTTTTTTTTTGTCAATTGAGAATTACTTTTTTTTTCTCTTCCTCTTTTTTTCATTTCAAAATTGTCATTTGTTCCAGATTATACTTTTGTTGTTGTTGTTGTTGTTGTTGTTGAAATCGTCTTATGACACGAAATAACAATCATTATTTTGAATTGAATCCATTTATTTAGTTATAAAAAAAAATTCTACCAAAAAAAAAACTAGGTGAAAAATTTTGTTCAGATTCAATATGGTAAATGTGCCATATATTTGTGTATGTGTTGACAATTTTCATTGTAGATCATCATCACAATGATGATGATCATCCAACATCAAAATGTTATGTTTTTGTTTAATATTTTATTATTTGTGATGATATTAATAAAATTGGTTAGAAAATAATGTTTTAATGGCCATTATTGTCATCATGGATAGAGGTCAAAAAAGATTTTTGAAGCAAAACAAAACACAGAAAAAAAAGGATTTCCGATAAGTTGTGGATTCCCCATATACAAAACAACAAAAACATATCGACGGGTTTTTGGTTTTGTAGTATAAGCTCTTGATGGATTGATAAACCGGATAAAATAGGAATTTTTGTTATCCGAATGGGCTTTCATTTTTCAATTTTTTTTTTGAATTCAAAGAGAAAACAAACAAAGAAATTCTTTTGAACATCTTTTTTTTCTTGTTTTTGTTTTGTTTACTGAACAACAACAATTTTTTTTCGAATTTTCTTCCTATTTCGGCCGCATCATTTATTTTTTCTAAAGTTAAAGTTGATTCAAAAAGTTTTTCCAAGATGATACGATTCATTGATCTATCGAATATTATAATATAATTGAATTTAATTGATTGTTTTTTCAATTTTATATTGTTTTTAGATTCATTTACGGCAAAATTATCAGTACGAATGCGTGATGGGCCGGATTTTGTTGCTACAAATTTTACATTCTACGATTGTGCTTCATTTACATCATGTACGGAGTGTGTTTCGAGCTTATTTCCATGCGATTGGTGTGTTGGTGGTCATCGTTGTACACATGATACTGGTGAACATTGTCGAAATGAAATACTTGTTACCGGTATCAAATCAATGGGACGTTCAATACGTTCAGGTCCAAGTTTTTGTCCACGCATTAATTCCACTGTTAGTGGTACAACCGAAGGTAAGTGTTTTGATTATAAATATTTTTTCAATGTTTGATTGTTTTTTTTTTGATCAACTAAAAGTTTTGGTGCCGAACGGAATGTCGAAACGTATATCGGTTAAAGTGGTTAACATACCGCAGGCAATCACAATACGTTTTGTTTGTCAATTCAATATTGAAGGTCGTGTGAAACAAGTGAATGCGCAACTATTATCCGATACAATCTATTGTGAATCCTTGCAATTCAATTATTTTACTAATCTAACAAATATAACTGCTGAATTCGCAGTCATTTGGGATGGTAATAAACCATTGGATAATCCGGATAATATTCATGGTAAGTTTTTAATGGTTTTATGACTTGTTGTTTTCATTTCTGATGATTTTGCTTTTCCACAACCTATTAGTATTGGTATATCGATGTTCTGGTCTTGCGAATAATTGTGGATTTTGTTTGGAATTGGATGAAAAATATAAATGCGGCTGGTGTCAACAAAGTGAAAGCTGTCAAGTACAGGAACAATGTCAACATCATAATACAATGTGGCTTAATCGACAACAAATTTGTCCTAATCCAAGAATATTAGATTTTTATCCAAAAACTGGTCCATATGAAGGTGGTACTAATCTAACAATCGAAGGCATTAATCTTGGTCGTGTATTCAAAGATATTGAAAATGGTGTCGGAATATCACATGAAGTGAATGGTCAACAAGTTAGTCTCATACCATGTCATCCGTATCGTAATGATTATCTTAAAACATCGCGCATTAAATGTCGAATACAAGGACGAAATATGTCCGCTGATCCATCGATGAAATCGATATCAGGTCCAGTAGTCGTTCAAGTACTCAAAGAATATACGGCTAAATCACGTGATCATTATATGTTTGTTAATCCGAAAATATTGACGATCAATCCCAGTAAAGGACCCGTATCCGGCGGAACGTTATTATCTATCGAAGGTCTCAATATGAATGCTGGTAGTCGTGCGGAAGCATTTCTCGGTGATTTGCCATGTAACGTGACTAAACGTGAAATGAATCATGCTGAATGTATTACATCGGCTCGTATGATGGCGGGTGAAGAATTACTTAGTGTTCATTTTGATAATGGTATTCGTGTGTTTGAATATTATAATTATCTTTATGCTGAAGATCCGAAAATTGAATCGGTGATCAGTGAAGCTACAATGATGGCGAATAATCGTGTTGGTCATAAACAAACATTAGCCACTGCTGCTACATCGGATCTGATGATACCGATCACACATCGTGGTGAACATCCAAAAGGTATACCAAGCGGTGGCTTTACCGTACGTGTTCGTGGACAAAATTTCAATATTATTCAGGAGCCAAAAATGTACGTCGATGTTGATGGTGAATGGTTTGTATCGAATTGCACGGTATTAAACCATGAAGGAACTGATATGCGCTGTGAAACACCGGCTGTTCCTACTGAAAGATTACATTTCACACGCCAAGAATATATTGAACTTGATTATGGTTTCATCATGGATAATGTTCAATCAGTTCGTTCGTTGACTGTACCACGTGGTGGTGGTAATCGTGATCATCCACCATTTCCAAAATTTCGAATGTATCGTCTGCCTGATTTTCATGAATTTACTGAATCTGATCGTATTAAATATTACCGTGGCGAATATCTAACCATTAATGTAATTATTTGAATTTGAAATTGATTTTTTTTAATAATAATTTTCTCCATTGATCAATAATAGGGAAATCATCTGGATAGTATTGTACAATCAAGCGATGTTAACGTATGGATTGGATCTGAACGTTGTAATGTGACATCATTTTCACAAGTTCAATTGACATGCCGTCTACCATCACAACGTCCAATGGCTGAAGATGAAAATTATCATCAAACATATGATCAATTACCAGCTGTGATTGTCGGTGTTGGAAAACGATTCAATAAAACCCTTGGATTTATGAGCTATGATTCATCATCGTCTGGATCATTCTTTTTCTTCTCATCCGGTTCAAGTTCAGGATCATTGTATAAACATTTTTTCATTGCCATTGTTGTTGCTATTTGTTTTCTATTCGTTGTGGTTGTTGTCATATTGATATTGTATCGAAGAAAATCTACCGAATCATCTCGTGTATTGAAAACAATGCAAGAACAAATGGATGTTCTTGAGCTTCGGGTAGCATCAGAAGCTAAAGAAGCGTTTGCTGAATTGCAAACGGAAATCACCGATATAACTGCTGAGATAAATATTGGTGGTATACCGTTCCTAGATTATCGTCTTTACACATTGAAAGTATTGTTTCCGAATGAAAACAATAATCATGCTGTCTTACAGGAACTAGCTCTCGAAACAAATGAACGTGGCCATGTTGAACAAGCGTTGACAATGTTCGGACAATTAATATTGAATAAAACATTCCTTCTACTTTTCATTCGCACGCTTGAATCGAATCGTTATTTTTCAATGCGTGATCGTGTCAACGTTGCATCATTAATTATGGTCACTCTTCAAGGACGAATGGAATATTGTACATCAATATTGAAAACATTATTGGCCGATTTAATCGAAAAATGTATTGATGGTAAATCACATCCAAAATTATTATTACGACGAACGGAATCGGTTGCAGAAAAAATGCTTTCATCATGGTTTACATTTTTATTATATAAATTTCTAAAAGAATGTGCCGGTGAACCATTATATCTGCTTTATTTTGCCATCAAACATCAAGTGGATAAAGGCCCGGTAGATGAAATCACATCCGAAGCTCGATATTCATTATCGGAAGAGAAATTAATTCGACAACAAATCGATTACAAATCAATGACTGTTTATGTGTCCATACATCAGGCATATGCACCATCAAATTATTTCAGCACACCGTTTGATCAACCCTATGGTCAGGTGACAACAATGGGTGGTCAACATCCACTACCAGGAATACAACCATCATTAATAGGTCCAATTGCTCAGCTCAATAATAATCTTGGTATATATGGTGGACCAGAATCACCATTATACAACCATCATCATCCTTTAGCGACACACGCAAATCCGCAACAAGAATATCTTACCGTACCTGTCAAAGTGTTGGATTGTGATACGATTAGTCAGGTGAAAGAAAAATCAATGGATACGATTTATCGTGGCGTGCCATTTTCGGTGCGTCCATTTCGCGATGATGAATTAGATCTGGAATGGCGTACCGGGCAAAGTGGTAAAATCACGTTATTGAATGATGATTCAACTAGTCGTGTTTCGGGTGAATGGCGTCGTCTAAATACATTGGCTCATTATAAAGTACCTGATTGTGCTAGCCTAATATTAGTGCCTAATTCTAAACAACTATACAATTCAATCGATTATATGTATGGTGGTGCTATTGGTGCACCAATCACTGGTCCTGTTATGAGTGAAAAAATTGGTACACTTGGTGGTGGATCATCAAGTTCATCCAGTGGTTTTGCCACCGATAAACATCGTTATGAACCGTTGAATTTTCTCAAAAATTCTAATGCATCCACTGGCGGTCTGTTAGGATCATCACCTCCAACATCATTAAGTAGACCAACATCACCGCCAACAAATCATCATCATCATTCAAATGATCATCATGAAAATAATGGCTATCATCAGCGTACATGGCATCTGGTTAAACATCATGACGCTGATCATGGAAAAGAAGGCGAACGAAGTAATAAAATGGTATCGGAAATATATTTAACACGTCTGCTAGCCACAAAAGGCACATTACAGAAATATGTTGATGATTTATTCGAAACAATATTTTCGACAGCACATCGTGGATCATCATTACCATTAGCAATTAAATATATGTTCGATTTTCTCGATGATCAAGCTAAACATCATGGTATTAATGATAGTGAAGTTGTCCATACATGGAAATCCAATTCATTACCGTTAAGATTCTGGGTGAATTTGATTAAGAATCCAAATTTTGTGTTTGATATAAATAAATCGCCAACTATCGATTCATGTTTATCAGTTGTTGCACAGACATTTATGGATGCATGTTCAACATCGGATCATCGATTGGGTAAAGATTCGCCATCATCAAAATTATTATATGCAAAAGATATACCTATCTATAAAGAATGGGTTGAAAGATATTATAAAGAAATTGAAACAATGCCCGCCATTAGTGATCAGGATATGAATGCAATGCTATGTGAAGAATCAAGGGTAAGTGTTGTTGTCTTTTTGTTTTTTTTGAAAAATCTTTTTTAATTCTAATTCAATTTATTCGATCAATAACAGCAACACGCTCATGAATTCAATGCCAATGTTTCATTATTACAATTATATCATTATGCATTCAAATATAAAGATCAGGTATGTTTTTTATTTAATTTTTGATAAGAAATTTCTAATATTCTTTTTTCCATTAGTTATTACAAATATTACATGAAGATGAATTCTCCTGTCGTAATAATTTACCAGCCAAATTACAACGTGTTTATGATACAATGGATAGTAGTGGTGGAGCTACCGCTACCGCATCAATTACCGATCCATTATAACTCTTCAAATGATTCTCATTGCTTTTTTTTTATTGTTTTTCTGTTTCATCATTAATTGTGATATTTGTTTCTCTCCAATTCTTCTCCCCTTTTTCTTAAAATGTTTTGTTTTTACGCAAGTTTAAAAAGATTTCTTTTACAACTCCTCAACATCAACTAATTTTTATCAATATCATCATACGAACAAAAAAAAAATCAGAAGAATTTGTTACACTGAAAAAAAATACAAACAAACAAAAAGCTCACAACCAACCACAACTTTATCATTCACTCATCCTTCACCAATTTTCTTTTTTTATTTTTTTCCCTCGTTGTGATTCATATTTTTCTATTCAAATATAATCATCACTTTCATCAGAAAATAAAGCTCTCTCCATACACACTAACATAGCACAAATTCTTATTTCCAGATTTATTCATTCAACAACAGCAAAAAAGAAAAAACATCCCATTTAAACACACTCATGATTTCATTGATTTCTTGATGGATCTCTGTCTTTTTTTTAATTCTATTTTATTTTATCTCTACCTATTATGATGATAATTATTTGTAAAACACATATTTGTTTTTTTTTTGAATTATTATGCACAAGATTCATTTATTGTACAATTTGTACATACACACATTTTGTAGCCAATTTTTTTTCTATTGAAACAAAACCAAAAAAAACAACTAATTATTTTTTCCCATTTTGGCTCCATTTGAAATTCCTATACACACACACACACATCATTATCATCAAATCAATCAAATCAAATTAAATGTTTTTATTATCAAATTTCTCCGGATATCATCATCATCATCGTCATTATCATCATTGGAAAAAAAATTCAAGAATGGATTCTTTATTTCAATTTGCATGTATTTCTCTCACTCACTTCATTTATTCATAATTGATGATGATGAATTAATATTTGTATCATATTATTATAATTATTTCTTCGTTTTTTTCTCTTCATATTACATATTATTATAATTATAATTTATAAATAAATAAATAAATAAAAATTTGGACCATTGAATAACTAAATTGTTAATTAATTGTATGATTCATTTTTTTTGAAGAATTGAAGAAATTTGGTATGATAATAATAGACTTTATGTTAGTGTGTTTGTTTCGCATCCATTTCACTATTACTATTGTAAAAATTGGTAATTCTTTTTTTTATTGTTCATATACATTCATCATGTATGATAATTCATTGAGAAAAAAACTGCGGAAAAAATTTTCTCTTTGTAGAATAATGATGATGAGGATGATGATTAGCATGTTGTTGTTAAAAATAGCAAATATATCTCAGGCTTGATGCCAAAGAAAGGGAAAAAATATACTATACATTCGACACATGGATTTTTTTGTCTTGTAATTAAATGAAATTCTATGTTGATCATTATCAACAAAACCATAGTTTACGACATTCATAGTATGGCTTGAATTAAATTATTCATCATTATTTTGATTTTCGTTTTGAATAACATTCAATTTCTCATCATCTGTTTATTAATGTTTATGGTTTAAATTCTAAAAAATGCATGGTCCTTTTCGTGTTTTAATAATTCTTCTGATTAATTGGATAATTTTGATCAGAAATGTACAATCATTACCTCATATAATACCGGTTGGTGCCATATTTTCATCGAATGAATTGGAAGAACAACAAGCATTCCACATGGCTATTGAACGTTTTTCAGCCAATCTAGGTCATAATAATAGCCGTTTTGAACCGATAATCAAAGTTGTTGATGTGGAAAATACATTTCTTGTTTATCGTGATGTTTGTCAACTATTACAACGATCACCAGTTGCTATATTTGGTCCATTCAATGATTATGGTGCACAACAATTACAATCAATTTGTGAACACTATGAAATACCACATATTGAAGCACGAATGTTAGTGGATTTTGGATCACGTACAGATTTATCAATAAACATGTATCCACATCATAGTATTTTGTCAAAAGTGTTTAGTGATCTTATCGAAACACTTGATTGGCGTAGATTCGTCATTGTTTATGAAGATTCCGAAAGTATTATACATTTTAGTCAATATTTAAAACAAGCACAGGAAAAAAATTGGGAAGTAAGAATTTTTCAATTACAACCAGATCAACCATATCGTGAAATATTATGGCAAGTTAAACAAACCGAAATCGTACATATTGTATTGGATGTCAAAACTGATCATATTTTTGAAGTTATGAAACAAGCACAGCAAGTTGGTATACTAAGTGAACAACATAAATATCTTATAACATCATTAGATCTACATACATTAGATCTGGAAGATTTTCGCCATTCACGTACCAATATTACATCATTACGTATTGTTCAAGAACAACATCCGAATATGGAAAATTGGAGTAAATATGCTTCCATTGGATCGACAACAACGACGGCCAAAAATAGCCTTGGTTTTACTGGCAATAATTTTGATCATACTGTTCGACATGTTAAGGTTTGTTTAATCGATTCTTTTTTTTAAATTGCAATTTTCAATCAATCATTGACAGAGTATATCGGCAATGATATTCGACGGAATGGAAATCTTGACCACAGCACTGTTAGAATTGAATGAATTTGATACAGCATCAATGGATTGTCATTCAAGTCATGATGTATGGCAATATGGTACGACAATAATCAATTTCATTCGGCAAGTTGCTACCGAAGGCATTACCGGCTGGGTAGGTTTCGATGAATCCGGTTTCCGTGCCAATCTTACATTTGATATAGTCACCATGACTGAAAATGATTTTGAGCAAATTGGTTTCTGGAAAAATGGTATCGTACATAAGACAGAACATTGGTATCATCATCTACCAAGTCAGGAAAAAATGCCACTTATTCGTGTCACAACGGTTCTCAACGATCCATTTGTAATGAATGCAAAAAGTTCAAAAGAACTACATGGTAATGATCGTTATGAAGGATTTGTTGTCGACATGATGAAAGAGATTGGTAAATTTCTTGATGTTCGTTTTGAAATCAATCTGGTCAAAGATGGTACATATGGTGCATTGATTAATTCAACCACCAATGTATGGAATGGCATGATTGGTGAAGTGATGCGTGGTGAAGCCGATATTGCCGTCGCTGATTTAACAATCAATTCGAATCGAGAATTAGCCGTCGATTTTACCTATCCATTCATGTCGACTGGTATTTCGATCATTTATAAAAAACCAACAACAAAAGAAACATCACTTTGGTCATTTTTATCACCATTCTCTACAGTTGTTTGGATTTGTTTATTGGCAGCGATCGTCAGTATATCATTAATATTTTTCTATGTTGGACGTTTTACACCATATGAATGGTGTGATCCACATCCATGTAAACATCATGAACCTGTATTAGAAAATCAATGTAATATGCGTAATAGTTTCTGGTGTATTATCGGTTCATTGATGCAACAAGGTTCAGATGTTGCTCCCAAGTTAGTATTTTAGTAACATTAATTGATATTACAGTTTTCATTTTTTTTCTGATCTTTTTTCATTTCCATCAATCAAAGAGCGATGAGCACACGAATCATATCTGCTATCTGGTATTTTTTCACCTTAATCATTGTATCATCATATACGGCTAATTTAGCTGCATTTTTAACCGTTGAAAAAGTGCCATTTCCATTTGAAAATGTTGAACAATTAGCACAACAAGCCAAAATTAAATATGGATGTTTAAAAAATGGTGCTACACATAAATTTTTCGCCGTATGTAATCACACACAACAAATCAAATAAAATTTCTAAAAAAAACATCCTTTTAAACATAGAATTCGAAAATTCCGTTGTATAGAAAAATGGCTGAATTTATGGAACAACATCCTGAAGTATTGATGCCAAGCAATGCAAAGGGTCGTGAAAGAGTAGAAAAAGAAAATGGAAAATATGCATTCTTTATGGAATCGGCTACGATCGAATATATTACTGAACGTTATTGTAATCTAACACAAGTTGGTGGTCTTCTTGATTCAAAAGGATATGGTGTAGCCACAAGAAAAGGTGCTAAAATTCGTGCATCACTATCCGAAGTGATACTAAAATTACAGGAAACAGGAGTATTACAACAACTAAAAGATCGTTGGTGGAAACAAAAAGGTGGTGGTCAATGTGTAGCTGCATCAACACCATTAACCGAATTAGGTTTAAAAAATCTTGGTGGTGTTTTTGTTGTACTCGTTGTTGGATCTTTGGCTGCATTGATTTTTGGTATTTGTGAATTCCTGATCAAAACCAGAATATCAACTAATGATTCAGTAATTATTAAATTGATTGCTTTGATTTGAATTAACCTATTTTTTTCCTATTTCATAGGCAACATATCCAAAAGATCTTTGTGAAGAATTTAAATTTGTTATGTCATGTCAGAAATCGACAAAACTATTGAAACGTCGAAGTATGAAAAGCTTAAGTCAAACACCAGCAGTCGGCAGCGGTATTGGTGCAATTACATCCGGTGGTAGTGGCATTAGTGGCCAACAACAACAACAACGACAACCACAATTATTGATAATGTCAAATAATGTGAATGATCCCAATCAGCCATTAAGTCCTACACCAACAACAACTACAATTCCTACAATGATAATCGATAATAATCATAGTTATCAATCGAATGGTAGTATTCATGGTTAATAAAAGCAATTTACTTTTCTTTTATTTGAATTTGAAATAATTAAAAATTTAACTCTATTAAAATATGTTGGTTGTTTTAATCAAACAAAAAATATAACAAATTACGAATGTGATGAGATGGATAAAAATTTGATGATTCATTTTATAATAATGATGTTGAATAGAAATGTGATATGTCAATGTCTTGACAGAATTGAGATCAATATTTGCAAAGCTGTTTTTTTTTCTTTTAATCAACTATTCCTACTATATATGCTATATGTGATGATATGGGTTATTAATATTTAATGATGATGAATATAAAAATATTGGAATTTTGAATCAAATGTAGGCATATTTCTCTTTTAGGAAATGGAAACAAATTACAAGAATAAATTCATTATTAGGTGAAAATAGTATTTTTCCAAATCGATAGATATTGGATAATCATTAGTATATTTCATCGTTGTTGGTATTTAGCTTGGGAAAAAAGCTCGTTTAAGGTTGTAATCAGTTGTTTGTTTGTTTGTTTTTTCAATTCATATGATGAAATGTCTTTTTGAATGAATAATGATGATGGTAGTATAAAATGAAAAGGGTTCAAGATGAATCAAAATTTAAAAAAGGCGATAGTTTTTCGATTAAAATCATCAGTGGTCATGATCATTTGGATAATTAAAGCAATTGAACATCAATCGGATATAATAAGGCCATATGTTCACATCCATTCAATGGTAAACGATGTATTGTATAATAATCAATCAATTGGGGTATTGTGTCGAATCTAATTATCATTATCAATGTCGATCGTTTCCATGGTTCATAGAATTTTGTTGTTTTTATTGATTGATTATCATTAATATCGATACCCTGTTGTTGTAAATGATCATGTTGCTGCTTGTTGAGAGTTGCTATTTTCGAACATTCAACATGACCCAATGACCAATGATGACCATTATGATGGCAATGAAATAGACGAAAATGGATGTAACCAAAAATTGATCTGTTCAATGTAGAAAATTTATTAATATTTTTCCCAATTTAGATCATTATTATTATACAAACTTCAATGATAATGTATAAATATTATTCCAACGGCGAACTAGATATGAGCCAATTTTATGTTTAGCTAAAATTCTTTCCGAATCTTTCTGATTGATCGAGCCGTGAAACCAGCTATTCAAAACGTTAAAAAAAAGTATTATAAGATGAAAAATTCAAAAAACAATTTTAAAAAAATTACAATTGATGTTCAAGATCAACATTAGGATCTATTCGTATGGCATCCTGATAATTGAAACGTAATTGCTGTTGTTGTTTACCATTCAAAACAGATGATGATGATGATAATCGATTACTGATGTTATTGTTATGATCTTGAGAATTCAAACACCATCGGCTATTAATATTACGATCAATATAATTGTTATTATTATTACTAGTATCATTCATTTGTGATGATTGATAATTGGATAGCTGAACGATTGGTTCGAATTTACTTGGATTATATTTTGGTGATGGTGGACGTTTTATCAATATGGCTGTTGTTGTTGGACAAATATATCCTGTCGATGTTGATGATGATGATGATGATGAATAATATTGTTGATGTTGATGATGTTGGTGATGATGATGATGTGAGCAAGATTGATAGGAATGATAATGTTGTTGATGATTATGAAATGAGAAATTAAAATAATCACTTCCATGATTTCCATTTGCCGATGATCGTGAACGACCATTATTTATTGATGATAAATTTTGATCACCACTATCATCATTATGATGACCACTACCAGTCGAACATGATGAACCATTACGAACTGGTAAGAATGATGTATCGGTTGTTGGCGTTGGTGATATTTGTGGTAATGATAAATTCTTTAATGGAACAAGATTTAAATTGAGTCGTGCACGACGATATTTTATCGAATTATTACGCCATGATGAATTTGTATCATCATTTTCATTATCTTTTTTTTAAATAATTCAGAAAAAGTGATTAATAATCATCAATTTGATGATTTCCCCGCTTTTTTTAACTTACCGGTTTGTATATTAGTTGGATTCGATTCCGAACTACATGTAAGATTTGTTGAGGATGAACATAATGTGGAATTCGATAATGATGTTGTCGATTCAAGTGACATTGTGGAACCGTTTTGTTTTTGTTGTTGTCGATGGTGATTAGTTGATGATAATTTCGAATGATTTATGGAATTTTTCGATTTTCTTATCGATATTACATCATCATCCTCTTTGTACAACGGTATTGATAGATTTTCATTTTCAACGCTAATAGATGTCTCTGCTGTTTTCACTGACGATTTATCATCGTTATCGAATTCTTTATTACAACTATAAATACTATTATTTCTTGTAATATCTGGATCGATACCCATTGCCGTTGTCGTTGTTGTTGTTGTTGTTTTCAATTGACTAAGATTTTCAATCGAATCGAATATTGACTTAGATTCTTGATCACTGGTCGGTGTATTCAATGGTGAAGGCATTTTTTTAACATTACAAAAAAAAAGAAGATTCCGAAGAAAATTATCTCTTTATGGGAGAAAGGGAAAGAAAAGAATTGAGATGAAATTAAACAACTGATAATTTGTTTCATTCTTAAAGGCTCTATTATGATATTATTTTTTATTTCAGGGAACCAAATAAAAAAATAAAATTGAATTGAATTGAATGAGAACAGAAAGAAAAAAATCAACCAACCAAATAAACAATTCTAAAAATTTTCCATTACAAGATTCCAAAGAATTTGAAAATAGTTTCTTATAGTAAATTGATCAAATAATTTTGATATAAATTAAAAAAATATTATTCTATAGTTAGATTCATTCAAATTATTCTGGTTGTTTTAGGTATCCGATTCCAATAACAACCATTTTAATCTAAGCTGAAAAAAATAAATGGAAAAAAATCTGATCTTCATTAAATTACATCATATCATCAGGGGAAAACAAACTTTGAAATAGAAATGAAGCTTTCTAAAAATAGACAAACAAAAATTCTTTTACCTTCCTTTCGTATACACAAAAAAATACACAATGAAAACGACAATTGAAATGGAATTTGTGTTGTCAAGAAAATATTTAAATAAAATGTGAAAAGATGTCTGAAAAAAAAAGAAATAAGAAAGAAATTCTTCCGTTCCACATCCATGGAAATTATTCCATAGAATGAGAAAGAGAATACAATTTTCTTGTTCATTCATCCAAAATCTTTTAATAGAATAGTGCACACAATGATGTTGTTCCGTTTGATTCATAAAAAAATTCTTTCGCTATTGGAATTATACACCTTGGTTCAACAACAACAAAAAAACAATTACCGAATATTCTTTGTATGGAATGATTAATGATGATGAGAAATTTAACATTTGTTGTTATCAAAAATAATTTCATTTATTCTATAGATATACGATCAATGAAAAAAAAACCTTTATCGATTCTGAAATCATTCATTCAATCAATCAATCAATTCGATCAATTTAAATTTTCCTGTTTCAAATGTAACAACAAATGCAATGGTGACAAAAATATAACATTGTCGATAACATTGAACTTGACATTTTTGTGAAATGTTTATTTCTAACATACCTATATCCATTATTTTAACTGACCGGAACAAATAAAAAATAAAATAAATTAATCGATAATGGTTGTGATAATGTTTGAGAAGAGGAAAAATAAATTTTCTTCTACATATATCTCATTTGAAAGAAAAAAAATTTCCATTGAATTCTATTATCAACAACGTCATATAATATCATATATTGATGATGAACAAATATCTAGAATGAGTAGGTAGATGGACTTTGTATCAGATCGACCGGTAGCTGATTATTGTTGAGAAAAAAAACTACCAAAAACAACAACAACAACAACTTATTATTATTATTATTATACAAACAAAATATCATTTGATTCGGAAACAATCGGAAATAGTGTTTACATTAAAAATGACCATTGAATAAGAGCTATACATTATTATTATTAAACAATTGAATAATTGACGAATGAAATACAGTTTTAAACAAAAAACAATGTAAATTAATGTTTCTTACTTACCGTTTTTGATTGAATTTCGAGTGAAATTAGTATTTAATTTTTAAAAATTATTTGTTGATTAATTTACTTTCAAAATTGTTCATCATTATCATCATCATCATCATTATCCATAGTTGATTATTGATTGAATCTATTGAAAATTAAACAAATAAATAAATCGATTGCACAAAATTAAATAATTTCTTATTTCTTATTTTATGATTTTGATAATGAAGAAAATCAAAATGATCTAAAATGAAATGAAATGAATGAATGATTGAATATTGTACAAAATCCTTGACATCCATCGTCATCATCATCATCATCATCATCATCGTCGTTATCAATTCGTTTGTAGAATGGAAAAAAAATGAAATGGAATGAAAACTGTAAGAAAAAATATATACATTTAAAATGAAAAGATTTTTTTTTTTTTTTTGATTCATTTGGGCCACTCGGGCGCCAGTCTGTGCATGGATAATGATAATGATGATGATGACTCATACTCAATGAAAATATTCTTTTATAAGTTTCAGAATCGAGAAAATACAAGAATATATTTGTATTATCTATATCGAAAAATTTTGATGGCGCCTGACTCTTTCATTTTTTATTATTATTATTACATTATATATTTTTTTTTCTCATTGACTATATATATTGAATTGTGAATGAAAATAATTTGTTTGAGCTAGAAAAAAGAGAGAGAGAGAGAGAGAGAGAGAAAGGGAATGAGATAATAAGAAAGAATTTTTCACTTTACACACAGAATCAGTGTGATAATATTGTCGACATATATATAGTGTTTGATCATGTGATTCTTATTTTGTTGTTTCAATCTATGAAACAAATAAAAAACAAAAGATTTATAGATGATTTCAACATTGTTCTTCCGTCCACATTCAATTTTGTTGTTGTTGTTGTATTTGTATAGTGTACTTATACTATATGTATGTAATTTCAATGAATGAAAAAAAAATTGTTTCAACATTTATTTATTTTTTTCAACTTGTTCCAGAATTATATGAATGAATTGAGAATTTAGTCGAATCGATAGAATATTCTGTAGGTGACAAACAAAATGCGCATGTTAAATAATTATATATTGATGAGTATGAAATTCAACAATAAAACAATGAAATGAAAGCGAAACAAAACAAAAATTCCAATTGTCAATTGTTTTTTCATATATTTGAAATATTCTTTATTTTGATAAAATTATGTATTTTGTAACTCATCAATGAAGAATATAAGTTATTCAAGATGAAATAATCGTTATTCAAGTCAAATCGATTTAAAAAAAACAAAATCTATAAAATTTTTAAACTTACAAATTAAAAAAAAGTTGATTATCATTGATTTTGTATATGAAAAAAAAGGAAAATATTATGGATAAGGTTACACAAATGTAAATTTCAATTGAATTGTGGAAATGTTCTTCTGATGTGAACTTGTTTAGATTTAGATATTCATGATAATTTTGTTTACAATATTATCCGTATTTTTTTCTGTATTTAATTGATAATCAAATGTGATAATTTTAAATTGTTTATTTGAATCATTTTTTCATCCTTGAATAACATTGATTCATTCATCAATCAATCAATCAATTTAGAATCGATTGATTTCAATTAACTTGATTTGATTTTGATTAATAAAATTAATTTACTTTTCATTTCATAATTATTGTCAAAATAATAATAAATACAAAATATAATTCAATGATTTTTTCTGTCGTCGTTTTTTTTTTGAATCCAATTAAATCAAATGAATTAGTCACTGGAGAAAAGAAAAAATTATAATATAATTTAATTGTATTTATGTGAAAGAAAATTTAAAACCGATATAGCAAAAAAAAATATCAATTTTTAGTTTTTTTTTTATTAAAAAAAAAATTTCAGTAAAATTGTAATGTTTGTGTAGGTTTGTGTAAGCGCATGATGACCAGTTTTCGGTCAATATTAATCGATCGATTCATTCATTCTGAGCAAATATTGTTTCCGGAAGTAATCCAGAAAAAATAATTATAGGTAGGTGTTGAATTCTACATTCAATGGTTTTCGCTTGTCATGAATGAATTTAGTATGATCTTTTTTTATATTTGGTATCGATCCAATGCCATTAATAATAATAAGGGAGTAAAAAGAAATAAAATATACTTTCAATCGAATCAATTGAATATTGTTTTGTTTTGAAATATTTGCTATTACGCCCACATGCAAACAGAACCAAAAAAAAAAAAAAAAAAAACATTTGAATGTTAATGAATGAATGACTGTTTAAGCTTTCTCTCTTGTTTTTGATTTTTTTTTTTTTTTTAA